CCAACGACGGTCCCTTCTTTTTATCTTTCCCGTGCCCTACCTCATTCCTTTGCTGGCTCTTGGAGACCAAATCAGAAAGATAATTGATCAAATGAGATCGGAAAAGAAGCTAGCGAACCTAGGATCAACACCAAAATAGGGACAAAAGGGAAAAGAACGATATTTGATGTGAACAGAAGCACGAAACCCTCCCCATTCTTTGAATTTTATCAATCATATGAAAAAGAAGACATTTTTTTTCCTAATATGATCAAAAGTTATTTTTAACGTAAATTGTACATAATTTTGCCCTCATATATCCCGAGATACATTTATCTAAATGTATCTGAACACAACAAAAATTTATAAAAATCGTAACATTACAAACTAACATATATCTAAGTAATCAGCTCCTAAACTAATAAAATTTCGATAAGTTATAAGAGTGTAAAAATATCTATCTACTATGACTTTGATATCCGCGGTTAATTTCACATTTTACCTAATAAGTTTTCATTTTATTCCCAAAATGGAGGGAATATTCATATGCTAGGATGGAGTTTCTTTTTATTTTTATTGGTTTAGAAAGCATGTAGTAAGAATAGATTTAATGAAAGACAGAAACAAGTTGGGCAACAGTAAAGCATGTGGGGTACCAAAAAAAATGACATTCAACAACTACAAAATGAGGCAAGCCACTCATATGAATGTTGAGGAAAGGACAAATAAATTCATTAAATAAATATCAAATAAATTGGAGGGAGAAAATACAATAGCTCTCAAATATAAATACCATTTTAACATAATTAAAGTATTTAACACAAAAATATATAAAATTATTTCCTTGTTTAAATAATACTAACTGTATATGAATATTAATATTGTCTTTTTTGTAAATTGACATTCAAAATACTTTTTTCTTAAAACTGATCAAGTACGATATATTTGTCAAATATTAAAAAAAACACTTTTCGAATAATTGGTCAAATAAATTGTTTTTTTTTTCAAAAGTACTTTACATTAAAAAAACTTTTTGATAAAATTATTTCTCAAAATAATTAATTTATAAAAAATTGGACAAACAGGTTCTACTACATGTTCTCCATTAGGTCCTTAAATATTCTCTGCCTTACACAAACTTAAAAGAATACCTAAAGTGAATTTTATTTTAAAAATATGTGTTTGTTTATAATATTTGAACAAATTTCAACTTCAATTTAAAGTTTTAATTTAAATTTCCAACTTCAATTGTACTAATTTTATGAAAAATTTCATCTTGACTTTAAAAAAATACCTCATTCATTATTTTTACACCTTCAAATCCGACTCAAATGAAAAAAAAATAAAAAAATCCCTCAGTCATCAAATGAATTTGGGTCGGATCTTAATGAAGGAGGAATTGTTTTTTTTTTATTTTTTATATACTTAGAGAGGGTCCTCACGAGTCACGAGTAAAAAAACAAGTGAGATAATTAACCTGCCTGATATTTTGCAATTTTTTTAAATAAATTATAGGATTTTGGTTTATACAAGTAACATATTATATACAATTATTTGTATTGTATATAAACTATTAACATAGACAAATAAGTTATTGTATATGAGTGTTAAAATTATACAATTGGTTCGTATAAAGTATTGTGGGTGATAATATATCGAAAGAAATATATTTATATAGATACAAATACGTATAGATATACATAGTATAATAACAAAATTATTAACATGTATACAAATATAAAAATATATACAAATTAATATATACAAATAAAATTTATATAAACACCTGAGATTCGTTATAACAAATTCCATTAAATTATAGCCACAATTCTTAATTATATAAAATTATAGCTATATTAAATAATATACTAATAATATTTGCCAATTCACGCAATTTTTCCTAAAATTAATTAGTTCAACAAATATATGAACAGAGAAAAGGACAACACAACGTGCGGGATCCCATAGGATGAAATAATTGAATCTTTGAAAAGATCCTAAAGTTTCTTTTTTGTTTTTCGGTTCAAAATTGGACATTGGTGAATCATGATTTAAAATTTAATTTGAATATGTAATTTGGATCTTTTATGATTTATTTCAATATAAAATTCTTTCGGTTATAAAAATTATACAGTCTTATCAAATGAGCAAATTATAATTCATAAATAAGAAATTAAAATATCCTAAAACGACACATTGATAAATCGCATGTATGCATGTTCCTTTTATAAATAAATGTTTACAATTAAACTTCCAAATATGTATAATTTTACTAACATTCACAATCAATAATATTAGTAACTAGTTATTTTTTGATAGAATATTTTCACATGGTACAAACAATCTCCTCATATCGATCATAAATCTTTTTTGAAAAAAAAATCAAAACAAATTCTTTTTATAATATATAAATTTTAGGTCAAGTTTTATAGTATTTTTTTTAATTAAAAAAATCACTATTTAATATTCTGGATTATACTTTTTTTTAGGAAATATGAAATTTAAATTTAATATGATTGTCATGAAAAATGCACGCTCAATAATTGATTTAAAATTATGACTTGGCGTGACCAAATGTAAACATTGATTTGTTGTGTTGATTGGTTGTGCGTGAGTTGTTTTATAAATGATAAGGGCATGTCATCTTGAGTCTTGACAAATGACATGTAACGTATAAAATAAAAAGTCGTCCCTCAGTCTCTACCTAACAGAGTGCCAACTGCTTGGCCACCAAAAATAAAAAAATGTGAAGCCATAGTATAAATTTACTTGATTGAAAACATAAAATCAGAGAGATCTCAATCAAAATTGACTTCAAATTCTTGTTGATAAGCTATTGTGTCGGGATTCTAGTAACTCAGTTGATTGACTATTTTAATTTTAATCATTTTAAATAAACGAAAAGGATAAAACTATATACTCTAAAGTTGAATATATATATAACATAAGCAGTTCTGCAGTTGGTGGCTTCAATAATAATCAAAATTTTGGGACTGTTTACCTAACTTATGAGTATTAAATTCATTTTTCTATTCGATAGAGAGTGCAAAAAAAAATACTAGTAAATTAATTCCGGGTAAGACACGGAATGACGAGCATATTTAAATGAATAAATTGAATATTTGGACTATCCATAAAGATAAGGAAATTAATTCAGAAGTTCTTATCCAATAATACTTCAGAAATTGGGATAGATTTAGAGCAAGGGACGGAGCTAGCAAGAGTCAAATGAAATTTAAACTCAAGTAAAGATTTCAATTTCATGATTTCTTGTAATTTATCTGTTAACAAAAAGGATAAATATACGTTACTTATTAGCCGATATCTCATATACATAATTTGTGAGATAATAAAAGTAGATATATATATGCGTTAGTTTTTTAAACGAAGAATATATATCTACTCTAAGGGTGTGTTTGGTATGAAGTAAAATATTTTTCGAAAAATGTTTTCCAATTTTCTCATGTTTGGTTGGGTTAATTGTTTTGGATAATGTCTTTCAAATCAACTCATTTTCCTCAAATTGAAGGAAAATGCTTCCCTTCAAAACTTAGGGAAAACATTTTCCAAAACTCTCTTCCAACTTCAAATTACAATTTTTTTTGTTGAACAAATCAATTTAGTTTGTCCCTACCCTCAAACCAGCCCACCCTCCAAAAAAATAAAATAATTTAAAACTTGTTTTTAAAAAATATTTTTAACTTCAATTTTTTTTTACCCCACCCTCACCCCTACCCCAGCACCCTACCACCCCCCTCCAAAAAGAAAAATTACCGTAATTCATAATTATATAAACCTATAGTTATATTAAATAATATACTACTAGTATTATTTGCCAATTTACGTGATTTTTCCTAAAATTAATTAATTTAACAAATATATGAACAGAGAAAAGGACAACACAACGTGGGGTCCCAACGAAATAATTGAATCTTTGAAAAGATCCTAAAGTTTCTTTTTTGTTTTTTGGTTAAAAAAGATTCTAAAGTCAATTTGGACATAGATGAAATTTAATTTGAATATGTAATTGGGATCTTTTATGGTTTTTTTTTAATATAAAAATCTTCAAGTTGCGAAAATTGTTCAAATTATCTAAAAAAATTATACGTCTTATCAAATGAACAATTATAATTCATAAATAAGATATTAAAATATCCTAAATCGACGCATTGATAAATCACATGTATGCATGTTCCTTTTATAAATAAATGTTTACAATTATAAACTTCCAAAGATGTATAATTTTACTAAAATCATCAAGTAGTAATTAGTTATTTTTGATGAAATATTTTTACATGGTACAAACAATCTCTTCATATCAATTTTTATGAAAAAAAGGTTAAATAAATTATTTAAAATTTAAAATTATATTTTTTTAGAAAATATGAAATTTAAATTTAGAATGATTATCATGAATTAAATGCACACTCAAATATTGATTTAAAATTAGGGAAACTTTCGCAAATAGCCACTATAATAAGCTTATTATGCTCCATAACTATAGTTTGCATATTGATGGGTTGTAGCTACAATTTAAGCTGTCTCATTTGTATAATTTGCGAATAAATTTATATAATTCAATTAATTTTATATTAACTCAAAATAACGAATTTATATAATTACCAACCTTGATTTGTTGTGCCATCTTGACAAATGACATGTAACGTATAAAAAGTCGTCCCTTAGCCCCCACTTCTAGACTTCTTCTTTTTTAGCTGGGACAGTGAGGATGAGGACTACTAACAGAGGCGGACCATCTGTTAACTTCAAAAAAAAAATCATGTGTATATATGTATATATATTTTGAAAATTTGATAAAAATTAAAATATAATTAATAGCGCGCATCCATTGAAAAATAAAGAATTGTCAGTGTGTTGCTGGTACAAGTTAGAGTATCCACACCAAGACTTGGATTTGAATCCAGTTAGAGTGTTTATTTTAAGTTTATCTTAGAGCTCATATTTGAGTTAAGATAATATTGGTCCAATCTTTATATGGAAGAACAAAAGATACCCAAATACATAGCCAGAAGGCAAATCCAATATATTAACACGATTGAATAATAAGCTATAACGTTACATATTGAACTTATCCATCTGAATTACAAAGTTTCTTAAGTGAAATGCTTACTAAAAATCATCATCCTGATTATCTGAGGCAATAATTACCCTTGTTTTTGCCTCTAAATCATCCAGATAATGTTGATAGATATATGATGTATATCCCCATAATCCCAATAACAATGACAATACCTTCAACCCAGTAATTCTATCTTTCAAGAACACCATTGCAAAAATTGGCACAATTGAACCTCCAAAGTTGATGATCACATTAGAGAACAAAGAAGATGCCTTAAAAACCAATCCAAATGATCCAAGAGCGTATAATTGCCAAGCAATAGCAGAACAAACCAAGTTTATAACATATGACGATTTACCTGTTCTGTATTCTCCCATTTCCTTCTCCAAATCCCTCCAATTACCGCTCGCGAAAAGCCCAGTTAACGAAGCAATCGTCGTGAAAAACCCGATGAAAAAGGACATTTGCAGGACTTCTTTTAACGTGCTACTTTTGAATACCTTTTGGAAAGCGAGTTCTGTTAATGAGAACTGTAAAGCGTAACCTAAGGACCCGAATGTAGTAACTGTAAATCCGATTAGCAGAGATTTCTGAGATATTTCTCCGCTATCATCTGTCTCATTCTGGAAAATAACAGCAGAGGATGAAAAGGAGAGAAGCACGATGGAGTTGAGTATAATTGCTGTGATTTTTTGTCCGTTGAGGAGGAAGGAGGTGATCGCGTTGAACGCCAATTGAGTACCGGAAATTAGAGAATAAGTTGAGGCCGGAAGGTATTGTACTCCAACTGTAAATGACATAGAGTTTGCTACTTGAAATAAACCAAGGAAGATGTAAACCGAAGCGCGAACAAATATAGAAGGCTGGTGAATGATTAGGTCTTGTTCATTGTGATTTTTGGTTGAAGGATAGCAAATGAAAGGCAGGAGAATTGAGAATCCAGCAGTTTGTGCTAATGTAGCAATCCATCTGCTTTTGCCACCTTGTTCATAGTATACTCTACCCAACAGAGTGCCAACTGCTTGGCCACCAAGAATAAAGAATGTGAAGATAAATATCTGAAGCCAAAGTATAAATTTACTTGATTGAACACTGCTGTTATCTGCATTTTCAGATGACTCTGTCCTTTCTGCTTCTTCAACTGTCAAATGAAACAGGGGTACTTATAAACAGAGAGATCTCAATCAAAACTGACTTCAAATTCTTGTTAATAATCAATTGTATCGGAATCGTAATAGCTCAGTTGATTGACTAACTAAATTGATCCATTTTAAAATCTCCAGGTATTATTATTTTCTCATCCATCCATAAAAAAAAACTAAATCATTTTAAATAAACGAAAAGAATAAACCTATATACTCTAAAGTTGAAAATATATAACATCAGCATTTGGTAGCTTCAAGAATAATTTAACTTCTGGTACCGTTTAGCTAACTTATGAGTATTAAATTAATTTTCTTAAAAAAAAGTACTAGTAAATTAATTCTGGGTAAGACATAGAATGAAGAGCATATTTAAAATATCTGGACTATTCATAAAGATAAGAAAATCTATTCAGAAGTTCTTATCCAGTAATACTTCAGAAATCTGATTAGATTTAGAGCAAGGAGAGCCAGCAAGAGCCGAGGGGTTCATCAGGTGTAATTTCAGAAAGGAGCTCAGGGATCGATTCCCCTGTCAATTCCTGATAACTCTAGATCTGTCAGTTTGTTGCATACGCTTTGCCTAGTACGGTTTACATCTCTTCTATGTGATTTGCTAGTTATTACACAGAAACAGGTTTTACGGAAGAATTGCAATATACAACGTAGACTTTTCAGTTACTCCACGATAGGAATTCTCCTTGAATTAAAGTTTGAAAGTGGCGAGGAATTAGAAGAAGAAGAAGAAAACTGGTATATTCATGACCACAGTAACCAAACTCAGTGAAAGTTCCATTTTGCTTTATAAATTTATAGAGGCGGTAATACCATGCCTAATTTAACACTGAAAGTGGCAAAACCAGGAATTTAAGCAAGGAGATTCGAAAAACACACAAAAATTCTCATAAATTATTTTTTTCGTATCTGCATAGTATAATTTTCAACGAAACACAGCTCCGACTCCGCCTCTGTACAGTGATGACAATAAATTGAGATGAGGAAGAAGAGAACTAACAAGTGAGATGCAGCAGCTTTTCATTTGCTCCTTCCATGCTAACACGCGCCTTAAAATTTGGATAACTGCTTTCTTCTCTTATTGATCTATATTATATATACTAGAAATGGGACCCCGTGCCAGCACGGGCCCAATATATATTATTTCTTTATTTAAATTTATGTCATATTATGGAATTTGAGAAGTTATTGAAATTTTTACATGATTTTAAAAATATTTTAAATTTTTAGCTATTGTGATTTGTAGTACTTTTTTTTAACATAATTTTGAAAATAATATTTATTACTCTGTTTGTTCTAATTTATGTGGCACACGTAGAATTTCAAATATTAACCATTTTTTATATGTCTCTTTAATATATTAAGTTCTTAATTATTATTTTATAGTACATTTTGAACAAATTTTTTTAATAATATATGTTATTTGCCATGTCCCAATTTATGTGGCATTAATTGATAGATTTGTTGGAGTCGAGATATTTATTTTGTTAATTATTGTAATTTATAATTTTTTTTTCCGTCTATTTCAAACAATATATGTTGTTAATTGATAGAATACTTTTAATGTAATTTTTAAAAAAAATATGTGTGACTCTCCATGTCCCAATTTATGTGGCACATGTAAAGTTTTGACAATTAACCAAAATTTTAATACATTTAAAAAAATATTTTAAGTCGTTAATTTTAAGTAATTTAAATTGTTGTATTATTTATTACAATTTATAATGCTTTTAAAGTAGTTGAAATATTGTACTATTTATTATGATTTATAACACTTTTTTTAATTTATGTCATATTACGGAATTTGAGAAGTTATTGAAATTTTATATGATTTTAAAAATATTTTAAATTGTTAGCTATTGTGATTTGTAGTACTTTTTTTTAACATAATTTTGAAAATAATATTTATTACTGTATTTGTTCTAATTTATGTGGCAGATGCAGAATTTCAAATATTAACCCTTTTTTATATGTCTCTTTAATATATTAAGTTGTTAATTATTGTATTTTATAGTACATTTTGAACCTAATTTTTTAATAATATATGTTATTTGCCATGTCCCAATTTATGTGGCATTAATTGATAGATTTATTGGAGTCGAGAGATTTATTTTGTTAATTATTGTAATTTATAATTTGTTTTTCGTCAATTTCATCGACTATTTTTTTTATTAATTATTGTAATTTATTGTTTCTTTTCGTCAATTTCAAACAATATATGTTTATCATATAATCCATTTTATGTGGTACCAATAGAATTTAGAGAGTCAATTAAATTTTTTATATAAGTTTTAAATAATTAAGCTGTTAATTATTGTAATGTATAGTATTACTTATATTATTTTAAATATATTTAAATATTATATGTTAGGTTTTTTATCCTAATTTATATGGCATTGATTGAATTTAAAGTGTCAAATAATTGTTAATTATTGTAATAGATAATATGGAGTATTTAAGTCATTTATAGTATAGTAATTAATATATAATATGTAGTATTTAAGTGTTATATTATGGAATTTGAGAAGTTATTGAAATTTTTATCTGATTTTAAAAATATTTTAAATTTTTAGCTATTGTGATTTGTAGTACTTTTTTTTAACATAATTTTGAAAATAATATTTATTACTCTGTTTGTTCTAATTTATGTGGCACAGGCAGAATTTCAAATATTAACCATTTTTTATATGTCTCTTTAATATATTAAGTTGTTAATTATTGTATTTTATAGTACATTTTGAACCTAATTTTTAATAATATATGTTATTTGCCATGTCCCAATTTATGTGGTATTAATTGATAGATTTGTTGGAGTCGAGAGATTTATTTTGTTAATTATTGTAATTTATAGTTTCTTTTTCGTCAATTTCAAACAATATATGTTGTTAATTGATAGAATACTTTTAATGTAATTTTTTTTTAAAAATATGTGTGACTCTCCATGTCCCAATTTATGTGGCACATGTAAAGTTTTGAAAATTAACCAAAATTTTAATACATTTTTAAAAAAAAATTAAGTCGTTAAATTTTCAATAATTTAAATTGTTGTATTATTTATTACAATTTATAATGCTTTTAAAGTAGTTTAAATATTGTACTATTTATTATGATTTATAACACTTTTTTATTTATTTATGTCATATTATGGAATTTGAGAAGTTATTGAAATTTGTATATGATGTTAAAAATATTTTAAATTGTTAGCTATTGTGATTTGTAGTACTTTTTTTTAACATAATTTTGAAAATAATATTTATTACTCTGTTTGTTCTAATTTATGTGGCAGATGCAGATTTTCAAATATTAACCCTTTTTTATATGTCTCTTTAATATATTAAGTTGTTAATTATTGTATTTTTTAGTACATTTTGAACCTAATTTTTTAATAATATATGTTATTTGCCATGTCCCAATTTATGTGGCATTAACTGATAGATTTGTTGGAGTCGAGAGATTTATTTTGTTAATTATTGTAATTTATAATTTGTTTTTCGTCAATTTCATCGACTATTTTTTTATTAATTATTGTAATTTATTGTTTCTTTTTCGTCAATTTCAAACAATATATGTTTATTATATAATCCATTTTATGTGGTACCAATAGAATTTAGAGAGTCAATTAATTTTTTTATATAAGTTTTAAATAATTAAGCTGTTAATTATTGTAATGTATAGTATTACTTATATTATTTTTAAATATATTTAAATATTATATGTTAGGTTTTTTATCCTAATTTATATGGCATTGATTGAATTTAACGTGTCAAATAATTGTTAATTATTGTAATAGATAATATGGAGTATTTAAGTCATTTATAGTATAGTAATTAATATATAATATGTAGTATTTAAGTGGAAGGTGGTGGGGCCCACTTATATAGTTTGATAAATATATTGGATATTAGTTGTGATTTATAGTATAGTAATTAATAATATATAATATGTAGTATTTAAGTGGAAGGTGGTGGGGCCCACTTATATATTTTATAAATATATTGAACATTAGTAGTGATCTTATTGGACCATTGGTACTCATTCCTAGACTCTTCTATAATATAGTAACTAATTACAGTAGCCCGTGCTAGCACGGGCCCAACATATATTTTTATTTTTTATTTTAATTTATGTGACATTAATAAAATTTTAACGGTCAAACAATTTTCTTGTATGTTCTTTAAATTTTAAGTTGTTGATTAATGTGGTTAATAATACTTTATATGTAATTTTCAATATTCTCTTTGTCCCAATTTATGTGTCATTGATAGAATTTCGAAAGTCAAGCAAATTTTGTATATGTCTTTTAGATTTTGAAGTTATTTAATTATTATGAGTTATAGTACATTTTACGTATATGCTACTTTTTCTATCTCAAATTATGTGACATTAGTAGAATTTTGAGAGTTGATCAAATTTTTGTATGTCCTTTAAATTTTGAAGTTGCTAATTATTGTGTGATTTGTAGTACGTTTCATGTTATTTCAAATAATATATGTTATCTCCTCTATCCTAATTTATATGGCACTACTAGATTTTGAGCTTCAACCAAATTTTATAGATGTCTTATAATATTTTAGGGTTTAATTACCTCTTTTTGATTTTAATCCATTAATATGCTTTCTTCACAATTATCAGTAGAGCTACCTTAAACGGTGATGTGGCGCTCTCTATGACCTTCATTGTCATTTTTCTTTTTTCTTTTTTTTGAATTTTTCTCAATTATATTATTTTTAAAAGTTATATTCATAACTCACACTTCTTCATCTTCATAAATTATACTTTTAATTAGTATTAATAATATTCATAACTTTCAAACCTTTTATATTCATAACCCCAAAAAAATCAATTTTACATTAAATTAAAATATTCAATGCCTTTCTTTCTTTGGAGAGAAATGACATTAAATTAAAATGTTTGCCTCAATATGCTTAAGATGCTAGAATTCTTAAAGTTCATTTTAACTTTATGTATTCTTTTGTTGGAATAGCTTTCTTTTTATTTTGTATGTTGTTTGTTGATGATTTTTAAGAAATTTTTTTATTTTCCTTTTTGTTAATCTTATTAGAACTTTTGTTATATATGTTGTATGTTGTTTAATATATTGATAGATTTTTAGGATTTTTTTATTTTTCTTTATGTTAATCTTATTTGAACTTTTATTGTATTAGTAAAAAGTATTCTAATTAATTCTACTAAAGATTCACTAATTGAATGCTGAGAGAAATTAATTAATGTGAGAAAAGTACTGAAAGAAAGACTTAATCCTACTCCATCCGTCCATTAATTATTGTCTATTATACTATTTTGGAATGTCCTAGAATACTTGTGCACTTATATATCTTTTATCGGTGACACATAAATTGAACAAATGAAATAATATATATCTTTTACGCAATTTTCAAATAATAAAGGTTATTTCTTCTTTATCAATTTATGTGGTACTAATAAAATTTTGAGAATCAATCAATTTTTTTTGTCTTTAAAATATACTATTGTTAATTACTGTAAATTATTGTACTTTCTAAGTAATTTTCAAATAATATATATTATTTCATTTGTCCAATTTATGTGTCACCGATAAAATTTGAAGAGTTAATAAGATCTTTTACATATTTTTATATCTTTTGAATATTTAAGTAAATAATTATTTTGATTTATAATATTTATACAATTATTTTTAAAAAAATTAAACAACAAACAAACCGAATTCATCATAGGAAATTACCAAAGCATCCTTCAATACATCAATAACGGGTCCCACTTTTTGTTAAAAAAAATATGCATATTGGGAGGATATTTTTATCCAAAGTGGAAATAGAATAAGTATAAAGCATTAAAGTCTTTTAAAATTTAAAATTGTTAATTCTTATTGTATGATTGTAATACTTTACGCCATTTTCAAATAATAGAGGTCATTTCTTCTTTCTCAATTTATGTAGTACTAAAAAAAATTGAGATTCAATCAATTTTTTTTGTCTTTAAAATATTTCTAGCTGTTAATTACTGTAATTTATAGTACTTTCTAAGAGATTTTCAAATA